CAGAGAGTGGGGAAATTCAAACCTAAAAGCACTCTCAAAAACAATGGAGATTTTGGTGATAACTTTGTGAGAGCAATAAGATAAAATGTAAACCTGTGAATTTACCAAAGACCCAAAATTAACTGGATCAAATTGTGGAGCAATTCATGCCCCAGAGCATCATAGAAAATCATAGAGCAATCAGCCAGCAACTAATGACGGCTCATCTAGGCGTGATACCAACAGAGACAGACAGCTTAATAGAAAGATCTGGAAAAGAAGACAGCCAGAGAGAGCCTGCTCAATCTATTGTCACTCCAGGGTGACTGTGGGCATGCCTGTGGCTACAGCCTCTGAGGAACAATATCAGAGGCTACCCCCTGGGGGGGAAATAGACTTCACTAAAATGATCCAGCCAAGGCACTAAACAAATTGACAAGCAAACAACAACAAAGCTCCTGGAGAGGGGCTGGACATCAGTGAGCAGAGCTGGTACAACATATTACCTAAAATGTCTACCTTCCAAAAAATTATGAAACATAGAAAGAAAAGTATGACCCATACATGGGAGAAATAAAGCAGACAACTGAAACTAACTGTGAGAGGAGCCAAGGTCAAATTTAACATGCAAAGATTCAAAGCAGCAATTATAAATATGGTCAAAGAAGTAAGGCCTCCATGCTTAAAGAAATAAAGGAAGGTCTGATGACAATGTTGCATCAAATAGAGAATATCAATAGAAGGTTAGAAATTATGAAAAGAACCAAATGGAAATTCTGGAGTTAAGAAGTATAATAGCTGAAATAAAAAAATTAACTAGAGTGGGCTGGCCTGTGGCTCACTTGGGAGAGTGTGGTGCTGATAACACCAAGGCCACAGGTTCGGATCCCTATATACGGATGGCTGGTTAGCTCACTTCAGAGAGCATAGTACTGACAACACCAAGTCAAGGGTTAAGATCCCTTTACCAGTCATCTTTAAAAAAAAATAAAAATAACTAGAGTATTTCAACATAGATTTAAACTGGAAGAAGATGGAATCAGCAAACTTGAAGACTGATAGAGATTATGCAATCCTAAGAAGAGAGAATAAAGAATAAAGAAAAATGAGCAGAGCCTCAGAGAAATGTGGGATACCACTAAGTGCACAAACATATATGTAATGGCAGTATTAGAAGTAGAGGAGAAAGAGGCTATTCAAAGAAAAAACGGTTGAAAACTACCCAAATTTGATGAAAAACTTTTACATATCCAAAAAGCTCACTGAATTCCATGCAGGATAATCACAAAGAGATACACACCCAGACATATCATAATAAAAATGCCAAAAAACAAAAACAAAGAAAATCTTGAAAGCAGCAAGAGAAAAATGATTTACATACAAGGGGGCCCCAATGAGATTAGCAGGTGACTTCTCATCAGAAATAATGGAGATCAGAAGGCAGAGAGATAACATATTCAAAGAGTTAAGAGAAGAAACTACTAACCAAGAATCTTATATGCAGTAAAGCTATTTTTCAAAAATGGAGGCAAAATAAATACATTCCCAGGTAACACAAATCTGAGAGAACTTATTGCTAGCTGATCAATCTTGAAAGAATACTGAAGGAAGCTCTTCAGGATGAAAGCAAGTGACTCCAGACAGTAATTTTAATACACATGAAAAAACAAAGAGCACAGATTAAAGGTAATTATGTAATTGTAAACACACAGTTTAAATGCATATTTATTCTTTTTTCTTCTCTTAATTGATTTAAAAAGTAATGTGTAAAATAATAAGTAGGGGCTGGCTGCTTAGCTCAGTTGGTTACAGTGCAGTGCTGATAACACCAAGGCCCAAGGTTTGATCCCTGTACCAGCCAGCCACACAAACAAAGCAAAAGAGAAGAAAAACAATAAGTACATAATTATATTGTGGGCCCTATGCCACATAGAAATGTAA